AAAGAAAGAAAGAAAGAAAGAAAGAAAGAAAGAAAGAAAGAAAGAAAGAAAGAAAGAAAGAAAGAAAGAAAGAAAGAAAGAAAGAAAGAAAGAATTCCTTTGATGGGTAGATGACTATAAGAAAAGTGGTGGGTGAGGAAGGGCACAAGGAGAAAGGTGGGAGAAAGAAGACAGAAGTAGAAGCTATGAGAGTCCCAGCAGTGATAACAAGGCCTTTCCCATGACCCCTCCCTCCAGACAGGAACTGAAGCCTGGAAATAGAACGCAGTGGCCCAGAAGACGAGGATACAAGGATGGAGAGATGGCAGAAAGAGAGAGAGAAGCACAGATGGTGGAAAAATAAAACAGAGAAAGAACACAGAATGCAGAGAATAAACAAAAGGAGAGATTTGAAAGAGGAGGTCCTTGTGTGAAACAAGTCAGCTGGGTAAAAGCTGAACTTTGGCTCCTCTGTGTGCGTGATACCTTCATACAGCTGAGCGTACTGTGGAAATCCTGCTGCTCGAAGCCAGTCGCAAGCCTCCTTAGCCTCAATCTCTGAAAAGCAAAGAAAGCAGTAGAGGCATGTTGAGAGCAAACATCAACATCTGTATGTTTATTTTATCATGTAGGATCTCTACTGTTCAACTATATTTTTAGTACGATGTATTTTTACAAATTTACAGCTTCTAGTTTGCATTATATATCACCACAACCAAATTTTATGGAGGAAAGTCCCCAAATGATTTCCTTTCTGAGAATCGCAGCCGAACAAGGTCAACATTTTGAAAGTCTTAATTAATAAATTGAAAAACATGATAAATCAAATTAAAGACAGAATCGCAGTGACTCATTTTCCATGATCCATCTCTGAGCGTGTTACGGAAACAGAGGAGGAACATCTCAGAAAACGAGACTTCCCTCTGGGAATTAAGAGGAATGATGAGACTGGAAAAGCTGGAAATTTGCCAGAGAAGGATGCACATTATCTTGAGTGGACAAAGGAAGCAGCGTACATTGTCTAACATTACATCTGTACTACAGATATAGATACACCAGCCGCCAACACCTTGAGACATTTTACAGGCATTTGTTTTACTACTTTTTTCCACATGTACTGCACACACCTCTAAACTGGCAGCCCTGAAATGCACAAGTGTGTGGGTATGTGTGTGTACAGTACGCTCACTTTATGAGCAGACACTTATTAAACCGCTCTGCAGCGCCTCTTTGTGCTGACAAAGACATCTTAATAATCCGGTGACAGCAATCATGTGTTTTAGGTGCAATATGACTTAAAATGCGCACTGAGAAATACAAAAATCATAAATAATAAGGAATTGAAAGAATGGGAAGGCATTTACATGTGAAAAAAATGAAATGTTAAATGATAAGTATTAAAGGTCAAATAAGAGCAACTGTAACTTCATCATTTTACTTTCATGGCTCTTATCTGATCTCTCTGTCAAAGCCACACTCATTCACTCTCACGTGTCTCATTCACTCTCACAGAGGTGCTGGCACTGCCTGAGAAAGTCACCGCAGAAACACAGAGGACAAAGTTCAGCAGGGAAATAAAACAAATGTCAGACTTCACCCTCAGAGATGAGAATGGCCAGAGGAAATGATCCCATTACCACAATCCAGCAATTACAACCCTCTTCCAACATTCTCAGCATAACTCCTCTCTCTAAGTCACATATGAAGCAGCGCTCGGGGTAAAAATATTTCCAGTTCTCTGAAAATAGACTGCAGAGACCGAGAGATCCCAGAGAGAAGCATTTCACGGGCGAGAGGCTTTCAGGAGAAACGTGAAAACTTACTGGGAGCTCTCATGGTGTAGGTGATGACATGCTTCTATGCCTTTGTCCTTTGCTCAGACTGACGTTTCCTCTCCATCCCGTGGCACGTCCAGTCGCTGCTATGCAGCTTTCCGTCAAGTGGCATTGATTTTGCGCTTTCTTCCCCGCTGCCTTTCCAACCCGTGTGTTTACAACTCTGCCTCCCTCTTCCAGCCTGCCCCATGCAGGTTTTCTCTTCCCTCTAATTTTCTCCTCAACCTCCTCTCTCGCACTTTCATATTAGTTAGGATCTACATACAACATCTCTCTACTTTTACAGACTTTCTGCTTTAGGCTGAATTGAACTCTTCTCTTCTTGTCATGCTTTAATTTCTTACTAATTCCTAAGATTTTTATGTGCTCATTTAAACTTATTTACTTACTTTTGCCCTCACTGTGCTCTTTCTACATCCTTCTTCTTATCAACCTTTCCTACCACATCCTCCTCTGAATCCTTCTCTCAACAAAGGATGTAGCCGCCCCGTTTGCTTCTTCCATTAAATTGACTCATCCTTGTTCCCGTCAATTGCACATCTTCGTGTCACACCATGATTGTCATTACCAGAAGTGATGTTGCCCCATGAATTCCATGAAGAAATAATTTCAGTTGACGTTTGCATCAGCCAGACCCCGAGGTCGCAGCCTGACAAGTGGTGGATGCCAACTTCACATGTCAGCTGGACCTACTGGCTGGTTAGCAAGGACGCTCGAACCTTCCGTCTCTGGGTTTATAGCACAAGCCTACACATCCGAGCAACAAATGTGTACGAACACACATGCATTAGACACACTAGACATTTAGAAGAGTCCAGATGTTGCCTCCAGTGAGTCAGAGAATGCAACAAGGGTGAGACAGACAGCTGGGGTGGGGAGTGGCAGCTGAGATGGACCCTGTGGGAACACCACAAGGAGGAAGCCATACCACACCAGCTGTCTGCTTAGTGTATGTTGAGATTTTAAACACTAAAATGCGTGCATGCACAGGTTAAAAAATATGCACCACAAAGAGATTCCAGGTTTTGAATGTGAGGATGGTGATCTAGCTTGACGATCTTCTTTAAGTATGGTTTCTTGACAGCCAGCCTTCCACTGAGATCATTTCTGATGAGGTTTCAGTAACAGTAGATGGATCAAATGAAGGGTCAGATGCATCTCACAGGTCCTGTATCAGGTCTTTGCTTTAACTAAAGAAGTGAGAACAACTTCTGTGTTTTTCTGACAGGATGCTAGTAACAAGGTGCTTAAGCATAACATTTAAAATGGGTTCTTTGCTAAGTTTTCTGTTATGTGTAGACACAACGCTGGCTCGTTCCTTGAGTTAGGTGTCTTTTTATGCTTGAATGATTCACAAGTTAATAAAAAAAATGTACCTCTGAAAATGGTCAAGTACAAACACTGGACTGAAAATGAGTGAAAAAGCAGCCAATGTCAAAAGAAAAAAGTTGAAAAGCCTTGAATACAAACACACACACAATGGCATACTTCATTGCTATGTTTGTGCATGTGTAATTGGCAACGGCAAAGCTGCTCTCAGCACAGGAACAAAGCACTGCCATTCATCTGTGCAGAATTTAATCAAGAGATTAATTAGTACACAAACATATTATTAGCAGGCCACAAAACACCCCAGTGCACGCAGTCAGACGGAGCTAATCCGAGCTGCCCGCCATGCTGTCTTTCAGCATATCTCACTGCACTGGTGCTGAGGAGAATATACGACAACAGGCAGAAAGCCAACAACAGCCAGACAGATGGTATGTGTACGAGTGCGCTCGACTGTGGGTTGGTCTGTGAGTTATGGCGTTCATGTGTGGGACAAAGAGGCTGTAATTTAATTTCTTACATAACAAGGGTGCCAGCAATCTGACGTAACGCATATAATTCAAACACCCGAATCTCCTCACAGCTTTTTTTAATGAAACTTTCTTTTCTCTACCTTTCATTTCCTGCTTTTCATCCCACACCAGTAACCCTGACTTTTCTGGCAGCCTTTTATCTGTGTTATGTCTGCCTCGTACTGGGTCCCAAGGACCCCAAAGTCCCCTGGATTACATCATTTCCTGTTCTAAATTTCCCATGTGTTCAAAGTGACATGTGAGCTAAGAACAGCAGCAGGAAGTTCCTGGGCTAAAGTGAAGCCCACAAGAGAGCTTTTTTTTTTTTTTTT